GTTTCTTCAACACTTTGAGGTGGTGACTCTGGTGCTAGCAGGGATGGGGGGACCAGCCATGGTCAGGCGTGACCTGGGGTAGCTCCCGTGATGAGACAGAAGAAGAAAAACCCAATTCTTCTCTCTGAGGAGAAGAATTATTTCCAGCATCATGAGAAAACAAAGCAGACCAAGAAGGATTATTTTCCCCAAACAAGACACTGTTTGAAAACACCCACTTGGAGTCACACATCATTTTTTTCCTCTCTGCTTGTTGCAACTTTGCCAAATCAAAAAATTTCGATACTGAGCTGGCCTCCAAATTCACGAGACCAGCTTAAAATTCCTGAGATTGTTATATTATTTTGAAAAATCTCATTCTTTTCATTCACTTCCTACTGCTGGAGCCCTAAAAGACCCTATTTTCATGTGTGTCTTTGACCACAGTGGCTGGAAACTCCCTTTTGCTCCCCCCTCCACCTCCTTTTTCCCTGATTCCCCATCAATCGGATGAATTCTGGAGCCAGGCCTTGAAGCAAACATGAAGCGTTGGGAGATTTGCAACTGATGGTAGGAGTTGTCAAGAGCTGTTGTCAGCGCAGTGTACAAGATGTGCGTGAACCATCCCCAGCAACTGTTCCTTCCCAAGCCAGCTCTTCTGACAAGACAGCACACGGAGCCGCCTTTCCCGGCACAGATACCCGCCGCAGAAGCTGAAACGAGAGCTTACCCTGCTGTCAGTTTGAGCGGCGTTGGGTTGGAGCTGGAGAAACACCCCCGCACACGCACACACCTGCTCCCACATAATCTGGCTCAGCCCCAACCATTCCCGCGCCGCGTTTCACGCCCAAGCCTGAGCAGGTTTTGCTGCCGGGACACGTCTCGGTGCCCAGGATCGGGCTGGGACGGTCGGAGCTCGCCGGGGACCCACGGACCCGCTGGGCGGGAGCAGGTGGAGCAGCCGGGACTGGCTGCCCGTGCCCGGGCTCCAGGAGGACACAGCGGCTTTGTTTGCCCGTGTGCAGTGTGGGAGGCTCCCCCAGCTCGGCACCAGAAGGTTAGTGTTTTTTAAAAGACTATTGTTTTCACCCTGTGTTTTTGGAAAAAACAAGGGGGGAGCTGGGCAGAGGCATGAGACCTACCCCGGCAATTTCTGCCTTGGCTTTCTGCTGAAGTGGGCACCTCCCCGGCTGCGCTCCCGGCCCCCTGACCTCCTCCTTCCCGTGTGGCTGCAGTTCAGACCCCCGATCCCACTGAGCTTGGGCCACAGTCCTCGTTCCCTCACCTCTCCCCCTTGTTTCTTTCCCTGTTCTTCTCTTATCAGGAGAGGTCTCTGCTGGGCCAGGAGCACCAGCAGCAGCAGAGCAGAAACGCACAAAGGTGTTTCCCCAAAGCCAAGACTTCTCCAGCCTTGGCCTTGCATGGGCGTCTCAGCTTTCGTTGTGGCCACAGCCAATAGCCCTCCTTGCTGCAGTGCTGGATCTAAAGATTTGCTATGAGATGCCTCAGCAGCCACGGGGCTAATGAACCAAATGAGAGAGAATCCCCAAACATTTGGGAAAAAAAACCACAAGTACATTTGGTCTTGGTCTGTGGTATCTGAGCTGGGATCAGCAGGATCTCCGGAGGGTTTTTGCTGGGCTCCAACCGAGATGCCACACACGCGTGCCCTTTTCTTAGGAGAGCTATGTTCAGGGTTTGTCCTCCCTGGCTTTCACTGTTATTAAATACCTGCCTAATGAGATTTATTAAATCAACTAACTTCTGTATAACAACGACAGGAATGCAGATCTCCTCTGCTCAGCCAGGGCTCACTGCAACTGTGCCGAGCAATTAGAAGTGACTCACAGAGGCAGGTGAACTTGGCCAGGATCCCAAGAGGGTGGCTCTGTCCTTGGGATCCCAGGCACACGGTTGGCTTCATGGTGATGCCAGGAAAGCAGGTGTTTATCTGCATGTAATGATTTTTTTGCTGGTACTGGATTAGCATGGAAGCTGTTTTTCCTTTGGAGGAGTTGCAAGGTAACATCTCGTTATGTAAAGGATCCGAACAGCAAAGGGCTGCTGCTAATTGGCAAAACTATTTAGGTTTCCCACCTGGAGCTGGTTGAGTTTGCTGATGAAGTTGTGAGCAGCTCAGCTGCCCACCAGCATGGAGGCTGGGGAAGGCCACTAACTTCTGGAGCGAGTGGTTGCTAGTGAGTCTTGGCGCTGGAAGATGCTCTTCGAGGGAGTGAAGGTCAGGAGCAGGTTAACACCCAGAAGGTGTTTCCTACGTGCAGGCAAAGTGTTTGGTTTGGCTTGTCTTGTAGCTCCCTTCCAATGGCAGGAGCAAATATTTCCTTAGTATAATGATTGGAAAGATGAAAATTCACTGTCTCAGCCTTAAATGATGAGCAGCTTCCTGGTCTGTGTCCCCAGCTTGCCCCACAGATAAGGGCTGTAATGCTCTTTGGCTAAGATAACAGGGAGTCAGACCTGTCCCTGCTCTTGACAAATTCTAATCTCTTGATCCAGTTCCTGGGCTGAAGTGGGCTCATACGGCAGCAGAGAGGGACCCTTCTCAAATCAGGGTACTGTAACTACATGTCCTTAACTTTAAGCCTCTCTTAACTGCTAATGGTGAAAGAAACAGCCTCCAAATGGTGCCATGAAGCTGTGTTCCACCTGGGGCAGGCGGGGGAAGGGTGGGGAGATCTAGCCTCTCACCTTGAGGAGTTTTCCCCGGTGTGTAGCTGGTGTATGTTCTGCTGTCGCTTGATGGATTTTGCAGTCAGATCCAGGGGTGGGGAGCTTGGCTCAAGTTTTTCTCGCCTCTGTAGCCTTTCCGGTGGGGTGAGACATGTGAATAAGAGTGCTGAGACTTTGGATTTATGGTGTCAGGCTTTAAATGCAAACAGTTAAATCAGGAGGAGGTTTCATGGGGGCAGAGTGCAGCGGCCCCAGGAGCAGTTCTGAGCCAAGTGCTTGGACAAATTTGCTGTCTCTGGAGCTGCAGTCAGTGCTCTGATCTCTCACATCACTCCTCAGAGCCACACTGCTAATCCTTTGTGTGCAAACATGAGACGGGAAGATCTCTGTTGTTTTCTTGCTCCGGCCAGACCTTCCTTCCTTTCTTCCCGCAAAGTGTGGGCTTGAGGGCACAGGCACTGGCCAACCGGTTCAGTTATGCTAAAGAGGTTTGTGGTGATTTACGGCATGTTGTGTTGAGCGAGTTGGCTGATGCTCTGAACTGGCAGAGAAGGAGGGAGATTGTCACGTGGAACAAAGTGCTGTCTCCTGGCAAAAACAAGGAGAAAGTCTAGTCTGCAGGCTTACCTGCTGAGTGCAATACGGTGCTTAAAAATCATCCTGCGGAACAGTAATGGGCAATCTGGTCGAATAGTATTAACTGTATGAGTTTCCAGTAGGTGTTGTTGCTCTAAGTGCTGTCTCTGAATGCTTTCTCCATGAAGGAACCATCATCAAAGCAGATATTTAAATAATGCCAAAGGCTCTTTGGCCTCAAAGAAGGTTAGGGGAGGGCATGAGATACAAAGGGAAATAGCACTGTTTCCCTTGTTGCTCAACCTTTTGATGGTCTGCAACTTTTAAATAAAAATTAGTATTAATAAACCCAGCAGACCCTAAAAAAAACCCAAACCCTTAGAGTCAGGTGCCAAGGGAAATGAGGTCTTTAAAGGAGAATGAGCAAAAAAATCCTTGGTCATGAAAAGAAAACAGCAGCAACATTGAACTGAAGAGTAGGTATTGAAGTAGCAGTCTTGGCCCTTTGAATACCACTGACATTAACGAAGCTCTAACCGCAGCCACTAGTCCTGCATGCTGTGTGCTTTTCCCTTTGTCTCTTGGCCACCTCTGTTTACTTTTTGTTGCCACCAAAAGTCACCCTTTTTGTGGCTACACTGCTATTATTTCGTTGCAGTTCTATTCACATTAAATGTCAAGTGTCAAGCAACACTTAAGTAAATAAGAGCTTTCTAAACACCACCCCAACCATTTATTTCTCTTTTCTGAAGCCTGTAGAACAGTTTCTGCCTTACCTTATGCAGGTATAAACCCAGAGTAACCCTGTTGAAGTACACAGAATTATTCCGATTCCACAGCACAAGTAGGATCAAACCGAAGCTCCAGGGACAGTAGTTTATCTTCCCAGAGTAAGCACTTGTTTTTTCTAGGATGATTGCAAATTAATTCCAGAGATAATGCGATACCATGTAATTAAGAGTCCCTTGAGCTGGTACCAGAGTCTGTTTTTGCTGAGCCCTCTGCAAACCAGTGAGGATGCTTTTGCACCACCAGTAATGAAGATTCAGGGAGTCCTTGCTTGCTTGAAGGCTGCTGAAAGTCTCTCTCTCATCCCAGAAAATCAGTTGTATTTCCTTCTTCCACCTTCCTGCTTTCCTATATTGCTCGATATTAGATGGGCCAAAGGCTGCGTGCACTGCAGTTGTCCCAGGGTTGATTTGGTCTTGGCAGGCTAAAGAGCGGGGAAAAAAGCCATGGAGAGGGTGCTGCAACCCTTCTCCAATCTGGGATGCTAATTTGAGTGTTTCCTCAGCCCAACCATCAATTTTTCATGGAATTTGTAAGCAGGTATTTGTCTCTGAGACCTCTAACCTACTGTTGGACAGGACTGAAGCAGGCCAATGACATCCCATTTTATGCATGCCTGCTGCCAAGCTGCAGGTTTAAAAGCTCAGGAGCTGCTAGTGTACAAAATTTGCTCCTTGGAGTTCCCTTGAAACGCTCTTCTAAGTGAGGCAGGGGAGGGAAGTCTCCAGGCCGCTGTGAAGGCGGTCAAGGGTGCCTGGGGGGGTCAGTGCTGTCTGGGATACTGCAGGATACAAGTGTATGTGCTGATGGAGAGGGGCTGTGTGCCGGCCAGGGGGACCTGTGGGTACCTGGGGTAACTCTTCCCAACACAGCCATGCTCTCTAGACACTGTGGCAATGAGAAGTGGGAAGGATGCTAGTAAGAGTTGCAGTGCAAACCCTGTTTCTGCAAGGCTCAAAGACAGCTGATCAGAAGAAACTTGTTTATTTAGGTTTAGGAAAACAACTTTTATGCAAATTGCGCTTTTTTTTTGGCAAGTAACGGGGTTGATACAGAACTTGGAATTACCATTTTAAGAATACAAACACAAATACATAGTATCTTGTTCAACAAACACAAACCAAACTTCTTCCCTGGGGAACGTTAAATGAGCAAATGTTTACTAAAGTAAATGGGCAAGAAACATGGGGTGTGGGGGGACAAAACAAAACAACACAACTTGGAAGCCAAAACCCCGCTGAAGAAGCAGCAGTCACATCTTCAGTTTTACGCTCAGGCTGTACTTTCACTTTGCTTCTCCTGTTCGATAGCTGCCAGAAAAACAGAGGAAACAAAAACATCATCAATAAACGCTATAATGATTCTGCAGGATAAAGATTTCTACAGTCATTCTTAAAGCCAGGGGCTGGTAAGTCCCCACTTGCTTTCTTTGGCCACTCTGGAAATGCCAACTCGTTCCCACGTCTGCATAGCTAGTAGGGTGCGGTTCATGATGTGCACACCTCTTCTTGTATTTACAGCCTGAGCATTGGTAGGGATAATAAAACAGGGAGAAAAACAGGTATCTTATGTCAAGGGACAGTATGTCTCCATGGCTATCAGTGCTGACGTATCCAAAGTGGTTAGCGACACTCTGCTGAAGGAAACTGCTCACAAAGTCTAGCCCAACTGCAGAGAAATGCCATTTTCATGTCCAAAGTTAAATGCAAATGACAACCCTCATCTGGCTGCCTCTGTAGGGGAGAAGAACCTGCGTGAGATAAGCCCAGGGGTGCTTTGCTAAGGAAGATTGCCTGTTGGATGAGGATGATGATGGCTTTCTCTTGCAGCCTTATTCCCAGAGAAGGTGCCTGGAGCTCTCCTGGCCAGGGCTGACAGCAGGTACCAGTGGGGGGCAGCAGCTCATCCACCTGCTAACACGTTAAATCCAGAGCCCAGGCACCTTCTGGGGATGCTGCCTGGCCTGCCAGGGATGTGCAAGTGTTCCCCTGAGCATCTGTGCCTCAGAAGAGGCTGGTAACATGGTAAGTACCAACAGTTTGATCCTGTCACCGGCAGCCAGCAGAAAAAATGGTCTTGCTTTTAGCAGAAGCAAGAGCAATCCCATCAGAAAGGCTTTTTCAGACAAAACACACCATCGGATGTAACCACTCGTATCCTTGACAGCCCAGCATAGAGTACAAGTCTTAGTATTATCTCCAGTTAAAGTCAGGGATGAGTTTGAGCCTGTAATCCTATGATTAGTATTCATTTTGCGTACGAACTGCAATACAGATTGTGTCCTTGCTACTCGTAGCTCAAATAGCCTCATAAGCACTTACTTTCTTTAGTGGGCAACGGATTTTTCTCTCTGGTTTCTGTCTTCTTCAGCTTGGTCTTGTCAAACGTTTCAATTTCTGCAAAATCTGGTTTGTCGGACATGATGGGTCCTGACAAAGAAAGGAAAAACACATTCGTGACTTCATTAGCTAGTGCTGTGATATCAGCCATCTGCAAAGCATTTTCTGCTCAGAAGAAAAATAGGAAAATACCATAAAAATGTTTAGTCAAAAAAACCCCCACAAATCTAACAGCTCAATTTAGGACCTGTCCCTGAGGCTCGGCTCTTTCAGAGCAAAAGAGGAAAGGCATAGACAGAATTTTATCTAAATTTCTCAGCTGAAATTTCTAAAAATCATATTTTGCACATGGAAACAAGAATATCTCAGTAAAGAAAAGACAATGCATTAATTGCCAATAATCCATGGTGCCTCCTGACGTAAACCTCTGTTTTCAGAAATGCTGCTGACCAGCAAGTCTACAATAAACCCCAAATCCAATATGAATAAAGAGGTCCAGTTATGATTTTGTTTTAATTAATAGGGTTTGTCTTTAATTCTGAGCACCCTGCCCTGAGTGCATACGTACCCCCGTATCTGGATGAGCTGCTGTGGACACTTGTGCTTAACAATAGAGGACCGGTTCACCCAGCCCTTTGTTTGCTCTCGCACTCAATATCCCAGACGCAGGCTCAATGGGTTTGATTATGCTCTGTTGTAAGAGAAATCCACAAAGCACACCGGCATTCAACACTTCACCTGTCAAAACTTCCCTGATCCAATTCCTGTTTTAATTGAAATTCAAGTTAAAATCCAGCCTGGGCGTTATTCCCCTGATTTCAGTGGAGTTTCCCATCAAGGCGAGGCTTGGCCCGGAGATGGCTGATAGAATTAAATTTTTTCCATCCTCAAGACAATGAGTTCATTGCTATCTGCACTGAGACAACAGAAGTAAATATTCACAGGAAAAAAAAAAATAATGAAAAGCTACTAAAACCACATGGCATTACCGTCTGGCTGCTCTCTCCTCAGCTGCTTGGTGGCCGTCTGAGGCAGTGTGAGTTGAAAAAGGTCAGGGTAATCCCTCCTCTCCTCTCCTCCCCCCGCCCAAGCCCATTGCTATTAATATTGATTAGTTTAGTGCTGGGATTGCTCAGCGTTTAGGGAAAGGACACGTTGCTGCTGCAGAAAGGGCACAAGGGAGGGAAATGGGAGAACTGACATGGAAAACTGTCAAAATACACCTTGATTATTTTGTGTGTGTGTTTTGTTTTCTACTTGTTTACCAGGACAATAATATTTAAGTTTCCCTTCCTGCCCTTCTTTCTCAATGCTGAGGTTTGGAGTTAAGGCAAAGTCTGGAGTTCATTTAAGGGTTGGTGCTGCAGTTTGCGGGGAGTTTTTAGGTGAATTCAGCAAAGCACCTGGGGATCGTCCCCCACCTGCCCAGGCTGGAAGAAGCACGTGCTCAGGGCTTGGGAGGACTGCGGCAATCAAGGGCCAAATCTGAGATAAGCCCAGCCTGAGCTGGTGGTGAGCACCATGCTGGCGTCCAGGAATGTGTCCTGAAGGAAGGAACAAGGGATCTTCCATTCGCTCCCATTTTGGTAGCTACCAACCCACTTGCTGGTGCTTGCCTCAGCCCGATGGCACGTGGCTCTGCCAGCCAGAGCAGGCAGCTGCCCACAGCCAACCTTCCTGCCTGCACCTTGCAGGAAGCCACGTTTGCCCATCCTGCTCATGTGGCCATTCTCTGTACTCCACCCATTCTGACGGCATGGACCATGCTGGACAGGGAACCTCTCCAGCTGCAGTGAAGGGAGAATGTGCCCAGGTACCAAGTGATATAATTCTGAAAAACCCTTAAAATGGCTATTAGCCCTTGCCTGTATCTGCAAGACGCATCTTGTATTAGATGTGGGCACTACCTGTAGCCACCTCCTGGAGCTGCTGCTGTCGAGGGCTGTGGACATCTCTGTGGCTGTGACGTGGCTCCAGCTATGGAGCACAAAGCTACGTGGGGAATCTTTTTTTCAAAGCCCTCAGGTTTGGGAGGGAAGGGCACTGTGCATCCTCCGAGATGCTGGTGAGGGTTTCCTCTTGGGTAACTCTGGATGCACGCATCTGAATTAGTTGTCTAGACTCCAGGATAGTCAATAGGGAGGCAACTAACGTGGGATAAAATTAATTGTGCCCTAGGAGTATATGGGTTTCTCTGCTGCCTATAAAGGGAGCCTGGACGATGAGCTCAGGGAGACAGGGATGTCTGACAGCTGACTGAGAGCCCCAAGAAGGCGCTGCAGATCCTTCTGTTGGCGTACTAGGCTTAGGCAGAGCAGGTTGGGTCTGAGATATGTGCATGGAGAAAATGGGTTTAATGTGTTGTTTAAACATATTTTAAGGACCACTTCTTCCCACGTTTGTTTAAATAACGAACGGGTTTGTGGTTGGACTAGATGGTCTTAAAGGTCTTTTCCAACTTAAATGATTCTATGAAATGCAGAAAAAACAGATTATTTTTACTCATCAGCATTCATAAACAGTGGTTCCTTTCCACCCAGTGATTTTTTCCTTTATCCATCCTGTTTTCCATCTCTTCAGAGAATGCAGGGGGTGCTGCACACCCTGGCCAACAGCAGTCTCAGAGCAGGTTTTCTCTGTGGCCGTGTTTGCAGTATTTGAGGTAAAGGAGAATGGAGTTACCATAGTGGTGGAAAAACCTGCGTAACACTGCTCAGCTGGAGCTCCAAAGAGATGGTCTGGGTCCCATGGAGCTCAGCCCTGTGCAAACCTGGCGGTGCTGCCTTGCGCGGGCTGGCTCGGTCACCTCTGCATCTGCACCCACTGCCTGTGTAAAATCAATGTGTGTGCGTGCCAGTCGGTTTTAGCGTCAGGACTCGGTTCCTTTGCTTCCACCCCATTAGTCCCACCAACGGTCAAAAATAGAAAGCTGTGTTCTTGACTGAAAACCCCTGGGAATAAGCAGGAAGGCGGCCACTGGGCGAATATTCGGTGTAAGCCGCGGCTGAGTTTTGGCACTGCAGAGTCTTAGTGTCTGTTTAAAGAGAGAGCATTAACCTCTTGTTAGGCTAGACACCAGATTTAGAAGATCAGAAAAGAGTTTAAAACACAGTCTGAATGATTCATGAATTCAAGCAGTTCATGAGTTTTTCAGTTTTTTAAATATTTCTCCATTTTTACAAGTAACAATAAGAATTTTTGTTATGAAGCGAGATTGCAAGGACAAAACCTCCTAAACTTTTAGATTGGCACAAATTCTCTCAGATGTAGAGAGTAAATGAAGTGTTCACAACAGCAAAACAGAAGAATCTCGCTTCTGGCTTTCTGTGTACAGTCACAGGCTCAGCCCCTAGCATCCACACCAGAGCTCAGACTTCTCTAACCGTGCTAAGACAGTGTAGGCTTGCTTGTTTTTTCACCACCACCATTTTACTTGCCCAATTTACTGGCAGACCTAGTATTAAAAAAGAGTTTGGGGTGAGTTGTTTGGGATTTTAGGCTGAAGATGACCAGGCTTTTAATTGATATTGGGTTGGGTTTCTGAGGAAGGTGCAACAGTGTTAGTTGAGAATGATGAGAGATTACATGTTCTCACTCTCAGCTGAAATCAGTAGATACTCATCTCCATAACGAACACCTTGACCATTGCATAAAGTGCCTTTCAAGTTTCTGCAGCTTGTAAGATCAGTGCTGTGGTCAAACACAGCTCATGTTGGAGTCAAACCTCATGTTTACGTACTCTGTGCAGGACAGGCAGCTGCGTATAGTTTTCATATGGAAAGTCTGGAGTTTGGCCTGAGGGCATTGCACAGTGTGGTGAGGCTGGTCACGGCAGGGAAAGATGGGTAGGCCATGTTTCACTCAGATGCTTTTTTACTTTCACTGGGAACTGAGATATTCTTGCTATATAAGCAGCAAAGCCATTATCTGCCAGGGTTTTAATGGCAGGACTCCAGAGTCACCACCTTCAGTAAGGGGACATGGCATTTACCCAGCCTTGGCAGGGCTCTGGCAGCAATGAACCACGTGGTCTTTGGGGTGCACGGAGGCAGCTGAATGATCCAGCGTACAGTAAAGTGAGAGAAAAGAGCAAGCAAACTCTAGGATCTTTACAGATCCTACACACCCCAAGCACATCGAGCCATGTTGGTATGGCCATGTCTGAAAAGCTGCCTCAGATAAAATGGAAATCGCATTTTTGTTTCAATCTGCTGCCAAATGATGAAGGGCTGAGTCAAAGCCAGGACTGACACCTCTGATACCAGTGAGTCACCCACCAGTGAAAGCATTAAACCATGCCTGGCAGCGCAAGCCACTGAGTGTCTGTCAGACACCCACAGGGAGACGGGGAAAACAAATACTTGCTACCAGGATGCAGGAATAGGTGAGAGGAAATGTTTAAAGGGAGCTCAAGTGCAAAGGAAAGTTCAGAAGAGAGTCTGAAGAGTGAGGCTGGGAGGTTTGGAGCCTGCTGCTGCTCCTCAGCGTTTTCCCTGGGCTGCTGTCACTTGGAACCAGTGAGCCCAGCTTGCATGGAGCTGGGGCTGCAGGGACAAACATATACATATATATGTATGTCTAAGGGCTACAGCCTTTTGTGGGCTGGGGGGACTTCTTGTGTTTGGCACAAGAAGTGCTCTGGAAATGCTAAGTTTCAGTTTCATGGTGTCTAGGTGGGCAACTGCAAGAAGAAGGGGTTTCTTTCTCTTTGGTGCAACAGTGGGAATCAGATTGTATCTATTTCTATACGGAGCTGAGGAGGGACAAAGCGCCCTAACGCGAGCAGCCGGTTAGAGGAACAGACGCTCGAGCAGATCAGTGTCTGTAGCTGAGCCAATAAGCTGACACAACTGATTTTATAATCACATTAGTGCTGTCTCGAAATAACACACCCACTCAAATATAACAGTGATTTCATTTTCAAAATGTTGGGGTATTTTTGGTGCTAAAGGTAGGGGATTAACTTTTCAAGGTCAAAAAAGCTGGGCAGGAATCTGCAAGCACCCTAATTCCTTCAGGTCCCTATGAGCATTGAGCGCTTTCCAGAGAGGTAGCAGGATTGGGTGTGCTGTAAGCTATCCTTAGAAGGTTTCCCGTTCTTAGGGGAACAGAAAAAAAAAAAGACTACAGCTTCACTGAAAGGGTTTTCTTAGTTCTCTTTGTGCCTTTTGTTCTGTCTTGCTGCCAAAAAAAATATCCATGTTTGGGAACGGAGACAGGTTCCCAGGCTAAGAGACAATGAATCCTGGGGGTGTAAGGAAGGCAATGATCTCCCTTTGGCAAAGTGTCTGCTGTAATGCTGCACTGCTACGTGTAAATACTCGACACTTGTCTTCTACTGTGTGTTTTATCATTACCTGAGGTGTTTCATTTTCCTTACCAAGACTGTTGAACCTTAAGGGTAGGTGCACACAGAGGAGGAGACGAGAGGAGAGGCCAGTTGTAAACAGTCCTTCTGCTTGGGCTGTTTTTTCCAACCCTGTGTTTTCTGAAGAGCTCTAGAGTTTAGATAGTCTATACTAGGAGTCCCATTGCAGCAAAGAGCAAAAAAAGAAAGCATAAGCTAGTGGAAGTGGAAATTTCCTCTCTCCCTCTTTTTTGGTCTTACGAAACTTAGTATGGGGGTGAATTTTTAAAAGTTTAACCAGACGGAGATTCTTGCAACAGAACTTTCTTGAGAACTGACCCCAAAGCGCATCTTCCACAATAAAGTACTTGACTTTGGCCTGGCCTTTTCTAGCAAAAGGCAGTGACACACATGTATTATATTTTCTTCCTTTAATAACGCACAAAATGTCCATGCGCATTGCTTCTCTCCCAAAGACAGGGTGGGGAAAAGAGCATGTGATGTGTTAGTCACATCAGTTAATATGCTATAGAGCACATGACAGTTCGTGATGAATACTGGTCTAGAACCACTAGTTTACTGTGACTTCCAGTCTTTACCTACAGTCTTTTTTTTTTTTTTTTGTCTCTCTCCTTGCTGTCTCTGGACAGAAGCATCTCTTACAAGTAGCAGGTCTTAGG